TTCTAGGACTCAAATCATGTAGTGGGTCATGTGGCATTCAGCAACCTTAACACACCACTAGCTACATGGAAACTGTATATTATGAAAAAAAATGATATTATTTGTGCCAAAACAAATTTGCATTTTTTAAAGAATTATTTTATTTAACTTTATTTATCCATTTATTTATTTATTTTAATTTGACCAGAGAGGGATAGAATGAGAAAGAAAGAGAGAGAAAACATGAGAAAGCAAGCCACCAGATTTGGGACTTGAACCATGGTTGGCCATTGGGAGTCCAGTGCCCTTAATCACCATGCCACCTGCTGGCCCAATAAATTCGCATTTTAATTCTATTTTCAATGAACATTTTGAAGTCCCCTAATACAGTGGTTCAAAATTTTCTTATTTATTTATTTATTTTAGGGTTTTGCCATAAAGTGCATGTACTCACCAGAGAAGAGACATAGAGAGAGGGAGAGGGAGAAATCACCACCTGGGAGAAGGCCACACTGCAATCCCTTCTCCTTCACTCTTATTTTGGGATCTTGAGCACATGTGCACACTTGTGCTCGACATGATTCTCAAGCTGACAGATTTGGGACATGAACCACAGTCAGCCATGTGGGAGTCCAGCACCTTAACTCCCATGACACCTGCTAGTCCCTTAATTACATTCTTTATTGCCCAACTAGCAAATAGATTACTTGAATAATCAAGATGAGGTACTTAAAAACATTTTTTTTCAGAACTATCTGATTCTATTATACAAGATGCAATAAACGGGCAACTGAAAGTGTGGCTATTAGTTTTTTAACCATAGAGTATGCCCAAGTATGCATAAGGAGAAGTCAACTCTCCTACAGAAGCTCATCGCACTAGTACAAGAAATCTAAGTGTGCATATCCACACTCTCCAGCAGTATTTTCAAGATCAAATCACACTGGCTGAGAACTCATGAGCGTCTATAATAAAAACAAGAACCAATGGGTGAGGGGAAGGAAATGATACAGTAATCACAAATTTGCTCCTGACTCATCCTTGGAGGGCAGTTGAAGCAAGTATGTTGATTGTAGAGAGAACTAGAACATTCTCTTCATCATGGAACAACATGCTGGCCCCACCTGTCACACGGCAGTTCAGCAGCTATACACAAGATCGCCTGAGACCACATGGGCAGCCTCAAAACAACTTGAAAGTTAAAAACAAAACAACAAAAAAAATAGAATTATGGATTGGACAAGCATTTTCAATATCCCACCAATGGCTCATAGCATCTCAAATTAAATATAAGGACATGTGCCATTTTTCTTCCTTTTTCAATACATGGAGAGATCAATCCTTCTCAACTACACAAAGCAAGTTCTCTGTTGTCCTTCAAGCCATTCCTCTCTAGTGCTAAGATTCTGTCCTTGCTGTTGGGATAAATGGTGGCTAGCTTCTGGCTGGCAGATGCGTCAGAAAGAACAAATATCATGCCGCCCAGAACAAGCATTTCTTAGAAAACAAGATTTATGACCACTACTAAGAGTCACGCTTAAGTAGCATGAAATTACGCCAGCTGAAATTATACAGTGGACTCTGAAATCATGCGAGTGGGACAAATTGATGTTCAACACAGAAAAAAAAGTGCCTACAGAACCATTGTTCTGTCCTGGAAATGTTTTCCCCTTGCAAGAGTCACCGCTATGTCAGTACGCACTAGCTGTGTCTTTGAACCACGTGTTTAAATGACATGCCACATATAGACACATTCCAGTTATGGTCTTAGTAGGGCAATTTGTTATAGGCGGACCTAGCCAAATGCTAAAATACCAAATACCTTCTCAGAATGTGGACCTATTAAAAAATTTCTTATCATTTTCCTCACCTGCTGGCACTCTCCAGAAGCAGGTGAATTTTGTATGTAATTGGGAGATTCCAAATAGATTTCCATAGGGCATGTTAAATACATACAGATGTCGACATAATAATAAAACAGAATTTTAATTTTGGAATATTCTTGAACAAAAATAAGCTGGTAAAGCAGCAAGAGCCGGGCCTGGTGGGTAGGTGACTGGATCTCACATTGCTGACCATGTGGCTTGAGTCCCAGATCCAATGGCTTGAAAAGCATATTGGGCACATGTGCATGTCTGCCCAAAATTCCCAAAAGAGACAGAGATGGAGGGAAAGCGATTATAGCGTGCTCATTCCCCGCAGGGGCTGAACTCCCACT